AAAATCGCATAACAGCCGAGCATACACCCAGCAGCGCTGCTGATGCCTGAACGGTATGTGGAATGAAGTGGGCGGGCATCGGGAGGCCACTATGGCACGGGGCAAGCACTATGGGCAGTCTATCTGAAGTGTACCTGGCGTATAAGACGACCCCCCACTTGGAGGCATATTTTTCAGGGCCAAAAAATCGTCTTATACGCCGGCAAATACGGTACATGAATATTTAATATAGGTGAGTAGAAGAGATAAAGGCTTAACAAGAAAATGGACCAGCCATACAACAGAGATTATGTGGGTCACACCAAGTCAAATACAGCATTTTACATAAATCAGTCTTTCCAATATAATGTTTAGGAGCCTTCCTCACTAGAGTGTAAGGTCTTCAAGGTTAGTAACCTTGCAATCTCTTTCCATTGGGACAGTTCATTTCTACTGTGACTGTGACACTAAGACCAAGAATTTTTGGGGCTCTGAAGAAAAGAGGAATAAAATGGTATCAAATATAGCAGAGTGGTCCAAGGAGATTTAGACTGGATTTGGTAATTTGAAAGTAGTTGCAGTAGAGAAAAGAAAGCCAGATTGTGGTGGGTGGAAAGTTAGTGGGAAGTGAGAAAGTGGAGAAAGCCTACTTCTCTCAGTAGATAAGGAGATCAAGGATAGTAGTTTCTTTGGGGGCCAGAATTCTCTTCGGATTGGTTGTTTTGCTACAACTTTGTCTCACATTTTTCATTTTATGTGTCTATATGTAGTTTTTATAGGTATTATATACATGTATAAATGTACTGTTTTTAAATGAAGTAAGGAGGAAAAAAATAAACTTTTTTTTAAAAGAAATGATGGTGTTACTGCATTGAGCCTGTATCTGCTCTGTTCAAAGCTGCACCATTGAGCCAAGCTTCAGAACACCCAAGTGGGGTATTTTATAGATGGAAAAAAGAGAAGGAAACAAGTAGGTTAAAAGTTCAAGACTAGAAGTCTTAGAGACACAGGTCCAAAATTCCCTTGCTCAGCCACTGCCCCAGCTAGTCATCTGCTTTCACTATGTGGCTGCAGAGTTAAAGAACAGTCCCCAAGACCACCCTTATTTCTGACACCAATGGCAACTGTGGGTTTCCAGGATAACCCTCAGGTTCAATAATTTGCTAGGATTCACAGAACTCACTGAAAGCTGTTATACCCATGGTTTGGTACAATAAAAGGATTCAGATTAAAATTATCCAAGGGAAGGGACACATGGAGCAGAGTCCAGGAGTCTTCTAAATGCAGAGCTTCCGATTGTCCCCTCTCATGGACAGTATTGACTTCTGACGGCAAGGTGAGACAGTCTGCGTGGGGTATTGCCAACCAGGGAAGCTCACTTGATCCTTGATATCCATAGATTTTATTGGAGCTCTGTCACATATATATGGCTGACTGCTGCATAGCTTACCTCAGTCTCCAACCCCTCTAGAGGTCAACTGATAACACATGACCCCAGACCCCCATGGTAAATCACATTGTTAGAAATCTAGTGTGACCCAAGAGTCCAGATACCAGGCATGGCATTTCAAGGGCTTAGAGCAGCCTTGGGCAAACCACGGCCCGCAGGCCGAAATGAATAAAACTAAAAAAAAAAAAAGACCGTACCCTTTTATGTAATGATGTTTACTTTGAATTTATATTAGTTCACACAAACACTCCATCCATGCTTTTGTTCCAGCCCTCATGTCCAGTTTAAGAACCCATTGTGGCCCTCCAGTCAAAAAGTTTGCCCACCCTGGCTTAGAGATTACTTCCCAGGAGCCAGGGACAAAGGCGAAACCTTTCTTTTGGCAAAATTAAATTCTTTACTGCACGAGGGCTTTTTTTTTTTTTAACCTAGGTAGTATCTATCTCATAGGGAAGTTGTGAAGATTGAATAAACATTGGATCAAAAAATTACTCTGGTGTCCTTGGGTGTTCTGAGGTTATATGTGGTAATAATGATGGAGTTAAGATTCAGACTCAGGACTTTGTTAATTAATATTACAAATAAAAAATGGAATGAAAAGCGTTCATTCTTTTTGGCATTTAAATTATTGGTGGCTTTCAGTAGAGTATTGGAGGCTACTACCAACACCATTTTACAGAGAATTGAGTTATTGGGAAGATGAGAAAATGGGGACAGTTAAGTATTAATCTAAAAGTTTTGTCAAGGGAAATGGGACATGAAAAGGTAGCAAGAGGGATGCAAGATTAAAGAACAGGTTTTGATGATTTTTTTTTAAAGATAGCCTTTTTAACATGCACCATACAGTAACTATACTAGTTTCTTTGTGTATGTTATCTCATTTAATTCTTACGTGCACTGGAGTAGATATTGTGTTTTGCTGTAAAACAGAGTATTGAGTGGGCTTCCCTGCTTTTCAAACCGTGTTTTGAAAATATTGAGGCCCAGAGAAGTTACGCAACATTGGCGATAAAATGGAAATAAATAAAATGGAGGATTGTTGTGAGGATTAAATGAGACAATCCTTGTAAAAATAAGATATCAATTTTAGAGCCTTTCTCTTTAGGGGAGCCCCATGTCTTCATAACAGTGCTTGGCACATAGTAAGCACTCAGTAAATGCTAGGTTGTTACATATTTTAAAATTAACTCCCACTTAATAAGTATGGGTTTAATGAAATTTTAGGGGGAGCTACATCAATAATATCTATTGTTTCTTAATTTCTTCAGAACTGCTTTTTTTCCCCTAGCCATTTAATTGTCACATTGGAAATAGAGCTTAACTATTTATTTATTACTACTCACATAAAGTAATAATTCTACATTAAGATATTTTTACTCATTAACTTTAGGTATTATAAGTTCTGTTTTTGCTTTGTGTTTTATGCATTCTTTTTTGCTTTTTCTTTTTAACTCTAGAATTAAGCAGCCACAATGTCGAGCAAAAAGGCAAAGACCAAGACCACCAAGAAGCGCCCCCAGCGCGCAACATCCAATGTGTTTGCCATGTTTGACCAGTCACAGATTCAGGAGTTTAAAGAGGCCTTCAACATGATTGATCAGAACAGAGACGGTTTCATTGACAAGGAAGATTTGCATGATATGCTTGCTTCTCTAGGTAGACTTTTATATTCTTAATATGTCTGCTTTCAAAAAATAATAATTCAGCATTCTATGAATTATTTTTTGTGTGATGTTCAAATATTCCTGTCCTGTCTTCAAAGCCTATTGAGAAATGCCTGGGTGGGAGGTGCCATGTTGGGGTTTGGCCAGTCATAAGAGAATAAGCCTGTGGGGATGGGGACCTGGCAGGCACTTGGCCAGGTGGGCCTCAGTTCCTCTCAGCTAACTGCTATAGGTCTGCTAGGTGAACAGCCAGGAGTTGGCTAGGTGGCAAAATATTGGAATTTATAACAAAATGTGTAACTAATAATATAGCAGTTAGGAATAAATGTTGAGGACAGTTTATAGGTAGGAAGTAACAATAATAAATGATAGTATCAGGAGGAAGGGCAGTGCTACTGGAAAAGGGAACACGGGAAAGGGGACTTTCACAATTTTATTTATAATTTTTTTTTATAACTAAAAAGAAAATGTAAAGATAAAGGATTTAAAGTAGCCGAGCAGGTGTAGCTCGGTGGTTGAGCATTGACCTGTGAACCAGGAGGTCACAGTTCGATTCCCGGTCAGGGCCACATGCCTGGGTTGCAGGCTTGATCCCCAATAGGGGGTGTGCAGGAGGCAGCTGATCCCATGATTCTCTCTGATCATTGATGTTTCTCTCTCTCTTTCTCCCCCTCTCCCTTCTTCTTTGAAGTCAATAAAAATATCTTTTAAAAAAGGTAAACATAAACTGCCCTTTATTATTTGTTTTATTATGGGTATTATTTTAATATTCCTTCTATGATGTTGTTTGTTTTGATCTTAAAAAGAAGTCCCCAAAGGCCCTCTGTGTTGTGCACCCAGCCAGCACTGATTTTGTAGATGTGGAGAAAGGAATAACAGCCTGCTTCTTGATAGACCAAAATGACTGGCAGGGAATAGGGTGCAGCTCAGGGATGGCCTGCAGTTAGGCTCTGCACTCTGGCGTGTTCTTGTGCTGGACTGTTAGCCAGAGAGCAAAGAAAAAGATGTTGTTATATTTTTTCTTTTAGTTACCACAATGCAATTTGTTCCTCTGTCTTATTTTTATTTTCTCCTAACATATTATTTTGAAAAATTTAAGTCTACAAATATAATGAACATGTGTACATCTTTTACCGGTGTTAACATTTTATGACATTTCCTTTATTTAGAGTAAGAATAGAATCAAGATACTGATCTAATTTGTTGACTTGCATGTAGGTTGGATCCCAGTGTTTTCCACTAAGAATAACTAAGGGTACTCTCTGGGCAGGTCAGTACTGAAGAAGCCCATTGAAGAAAATTGAGAGACTTAGTTATATTACAAAGATTGAATACTCAAGCCTATATCATGATCAGAGTACATGCTCACGTAATTTATGAGTGATGGTAGTATAAGAAGTTGACCTTGGGGCCTTCTGTTTTGGGGAGCCCCATCCATTTAAGGCATGTATTTACATTTCAAATCAACAAATTATAATGTATGCCTTGAATGGGTCCATAGGTGTTTAGCCTAAATGAATTCATTATAAATCCCTTTGTCTTTTTTGTACCCATATTCTCTTGACACCTTTGTATTACACTTTTTCAAAAAAAAAAAAATGCTGCAAGAGAGTTGGATTAAATCTGAAAGTAGAAAAGTAGATCATTTTCTTTATTTTTACTTATTCAATGAATCTAGAGATTAATTTCGGGCTAATCTTTGTATTGGTGTGTTGCGTAGGTATGAGTGAAGATTGTAAAGCAGTAAGTCAGATACCAACTTGGCATTTAAATTTCACCCAGAATCCCAGGATTAAAACTTTACATATGAACAATAATTCTAGATTTGACTATCATTAAATGCACTTGGATGTAATATTGAGGTGCCTCCTTAGATATGAATATCTAACTTACAGATGTTCTTTTCATAGAGAATCATACAAACTTAATGTTAGAAGGGACCTTTCAGATACCAAATTTAATCAGTCCATTTTACAGATTTAAAAAGTAAACCCTAGACACCTGCCAGTTTCTCCCAGGTCACACAGCCAGCGGCAGAACTGAAATTCAAACCACTACTCCAGACCTCTCATTCACTGTTACTACTACCATATGTGGCCATTCCAGAGGAATTACTCCCAACTTTGTGAGAAGGGTCAGGGCACTTCCCTCATTACTGCACTAGAAGAGGGAGAGTGCTCTCAGTTGGAACCAAGATTAAGATTTCCAATATGAACAGTACTAAACAAGAATGAATTTAGTGACATGAATCAACAGCATTTGGCAGTATGTATGGCAATCAAACAGTTTGTAACATTGTTCAAAATAATCATAATCTCCCAATTTTAAACCAACCTAATAGTTTTCACTTAAATGACCAACAAATAAAATTTTAAAGCATATCAATTCATGGGCAACTATACCACAATTGGATATATGAATGTTTAGATTTTTTTTAATAACTGGTATTGAAATGCCCTGATGGCCTTTTATGTTATCAACATTCAAGATGAATAACATGGCATTGCCTGGACCATAGTTTTAAGTGTTTGTTTTGTTTAAAATATTGAAAGAAAAGTTATAGAAAATATCAATAAATGAGCAACATTCAACTTAAGCCCATTTTTATACATGCATTTTTATAATGGTGTATCAGAGATTTTTTTATGATGTCATAAGTTGTCTTTTAAAATGGCCTTAATGCAATTAATCGAAAAATTAGTTTCATGTGAGGATGATATACCTTTTAAAATGTGTTGGGGAGAATAACAGCAATTATTTGTTGAAATTAGATCTTTGTCCTTAAATGTTATAATGTGAACTCTTATAGGGAAGAATCCAACCGATGCATACCTTGATGCCATGATGAATGAGGCTCCAGGGCCCATAAATTTCACCATGTTCCTCACAATGTTTGGTGAGAAGTTAAATGGTACAGATCCAGAAGATGTCATCAGAAATGCTTTTGCTTGCTTTGATGAAGAAGCAACTGGTGGGTGCTCTTTGTTTATGTCCTTATTCCAAACTGAAACATTTTTTTAGAAATGAAAAATATTAGTTGCCCAGCCGGCGTGGCTTGGTGGTTGAGTGTGGACCTTTGAAACTGGAGGTCAAGGTTCGATTCCTGGTCGGAGCACATGCACGGGTTGTGGGTTCGATCCCCAGTGTGGGGTGTGCAGGAGGCAGCCAATCTCTCATCATTGATGTTTCTGTCTCTTCCTCTCCCTCTTTGAAATCAATAAAAATATTTATTTTTAAAAAAAGAAGAAGAAAAACATGAGTAAAATACACATTTTTAAAAATGAATAAAGGGAAACTATTATTTACAATGGGACAGTATAACTGAGAATGGCTAGGACACAGATGTATGTAGGTTATAAAACTATACTATTTGTGGTGTTACTCTTTGAATTTGGATCTGAGCTTCCTGAAAGCCAAAGAGAATGTCTGTTAAATAGTAGTTCTGAAACAATAAAAGCAGCTTCTTCAAGAGACTATATATCACACCAGAAAGTGTACAGTCATGTGCCACATAACAGCTGCTTCGATCATGACCAATAGCACAGTAGTGGTGTTCGCACAAGATTATAAGAGAGCTGAAAAATTCCTGTCACCCTAGTGATGTCATAGCCATTTTAACATCATAGTGCACACGTTACTCATGTGTTTGTGATGAGACTGGTATATACAAACCTGTGCTGCCAGTTGTATAAAAGCATAGCACATACAATTATGTACAGTACAGAATACTGATAATGACAGTGAATGACTGTTACTAGTTTATGTATTTACTATACTATACTTTCTTTTAAATTTTTATTGATCGATTATATATAGAGAGAAATATATTTTTTTTTAAAATATATTTTATTGATTTTTTACAGAGAGGAAAGGAGAGAGGTAGAGAGTTAGAAACATCAATGAGAGAGAAAAATCGAATAGCCGAATCCTGTAAATTTCCCACCCGGGATGTGCCCACAACCCAGGCACATGCCCCCGCCAGTTGTATAAAAGCATAGCACATACAATTATGTACAGTACAGAATACTGATAATGACAGTGAATGACTGTTACTAGTTTATGTATTTACTATACTATACTTTCTTTTAAATTTTTATTGATCGATTATATAGAGAGAGAAATATTGATATATTGTTCCACTTACTTATGCATTCGTTGGTTAATTGTTGTATGTGCCCTGACTGGGGATTGAACCTTCAACCTTGTATCAGGATGATGCTCTAAGCAACTAAGCTATCTGGCCAGGGCTATATTAC